TTCAGGCAGTGCAGCCCCTGAAAACAGTCTCCCGCTGTTTTCCTTGTTGTCCATCCCTCTGCCTGCTGGTGTCTCTTGGTGAGAAAATGGCATGGGCACATCTGCCCTCCTCTACGTTCAGTAAGGGAGGAGGAGACTCCAGCCCCGCTCTAGTGTAAGCCGAGGGACACAAGGCAGAGGGCAGACACGCGCCACCCTCCACCCCTCTCTCCCCTACTTGACACCACCGTTCCTCCCATGGCTGGTTCTTTAACCTGATGTCATTGGCACACAGAACTCACAGGCAAGCTCATGCTTATGGACGTTTATTGGGGAACTTAGCAGGTTACCACCATTCAGGATCATGAAACATTAAGGGTACAGTCTGTGGTCCACAGCAGCCAAGTCTCTCTCTGGTCCTTCAGCCTCTTAGTCATGGGGTCCCATGACCTCTGTCTCCACAGGCCATGCAGCCCACCTGCCATTCTGCCTCACTTTCCACTATGCCAACAGCAAAGGTCACAAAAACTCTGCTCTACCATCGAACTGAAAACTGACTTGAAGAGACATGTACGGGCGAGAGTCGCACATCACACCTCGCCACACACACAAAGCGTGACAGCACAGTCCACGTGCCACTTCACAGTGCTTGTGGTAGTGCGCTAAAACATTCGTCACTGGAATGTTTGGTTTTTCATTTTGCCCTTCATTTGCATAAAATATCATAACCATGGCTAAGTTAACATTATAAACATTTTTGAAGAAAAAACATTTAACTGAAGTCCCTAATGGAGCAAAAGCTGTGAAATCATGAACAAGGCAACAAAGAACCTGACCACTGAAGAGGGTGAAGAGGGCCTGGTATCTTTCCCTTTAACTCTCTCGGTATCTAGAGAAAACAAGGTGTTTACCTTGTTAGAGGTGGTAATTGCCAAGAACGATTAGGACTATATTAGATATAATAATTAAAGAGGTATATTAATATTTAAATAAGATAACAGACAAAGCTTAAGAGAACGGCTAATTAAAATGGCAAATTCAATGTCTTATTTAATATGCTGATAAGATTCATTAAATTATTAATTAATGCTAAACACTTTAATTTGGTCATCTATTTATACATTTATTTGCACATGTTAGCACACATACATGTACAGGTAGTTTAGGATTCATATTTAAATAATCTCCATCTAAAAATGAAATTAAAAGAAACAAAGCCAAAGACACCACAAGGAAACAGAACTGCAGATCGACGTCCCTTTTGAGGCAGGTGGAAAAAGCCTCAACGAGACAGGAGCAAGCACCATCCGGCGCCATAGTGCAAGTCGTACCCTGTGACCCAGTGAGACCGACTACCGCAATGCAGGGGCTCAACATCAGAAAAGCAATCAGCGCAATACCCCTCAGCAATAAACAAAGGAGAACCACACGACCATCTCTAAGGACACAGAAAAAGCATTTCATAAAATCCAACACCCTTTCTGACGCAAACCCTCATAGAACTAGGAATGAAAGGGACCTTCCTCCATCTGTTGAGGAGCTGATATGAAAAGCCAGTTGTCGGCGTTCCACTTAACGGAGAAAGACTGAAGTGGGGAACAAGACGAGAGTGCCTGCTCTCACCACTTACAGTAATATTAGACGTTTTTCCAGAGCATTGAGACTAAAAAGAAAGAAGACGGCTCTAGATTGGAGAGGGAGCAAAACCACCTGCATTTGCAGACACCGTGATCCAGTCTGTGTAGTAGATCGGAAGGCGTCTCCAAGAAAACGGAAAGAGCTGGTCGAATTCGGCAGAGTTGCAGTTTACAGGCCAATCGACAAATATCAATGACCCTTCAGGTTTCTGATCCACCGTCACTCGCGAGTGCTGCATAGTATCTCATTAAATGCACCAGTGGCTTTCCTTTCTTCTGTGGACGGCCGTTTAGGTTGTATCCAGTCTGTGTGTATACACACACGTGTCTCAGCTCTTACTTCTCTATCATACAGACCAAGTGGAGCAATTTCTGGATCACATGGCAGTTCAATATAAAAACACCTTTTATAAGGAAATGTCTCTATTCAACTTTTTAAGGAAGCACCATTGTATTTTCTACAGCAGTTGCACCATTTTGGTCCTATGGGTAGAGGAGTTCCCATCTCTCCACACCCTCCCGGCACTTGTATTCTGATTTTCTGAAGCTTATCATTAATGTTGGGGTGAAATATCTCACTGCCGCTTTGGTTTGCATCTCTCTAATGGCCAAAGATTGCTCTCAAAAAGACTGAGTCTTGGAAACCCAATGGGGAAGTTCGACCCGGCCCCATAGTCAGAATTCCCTCCGTGGCAGTAGGTATACCAGATATGCCATTGTGTGAATGAACCACAGTGTGCCCAATCATCCATCGGTGGGCACTTGCTTCTATCTCTTTGCCACTGTGGCTCAAGCTGCGATCATAAGCTGTCCGTGCCATGGCTGTTTCTCTAGGTTGCACATCCATTACTAGCGTTGCTGCATGCTATTGCTAACTTCTGAAGGAAGTGCCCACGCCCCGTGCACGGGGATTGCACCATGTCACAGCCCCACCAGCACTGTTTCGAGACTTCCTTCCAGTCGTCCAGCCGTTCCGCCCTCACCAGCATTTGTTGTGGTTTGTAACTTCACTCTCAATGCTGGCGTGAGACGTCTGTTGTTTTGACATCACTACATGCTCAGTTGTTTTCATCCCCAAAGCCTACATCCTTCTTGACAGAAACTGAGCTACAGGTTTCAGAGGACACCCTTCAAGCTCCAACAATGCCATGACTGTGGCTCATGGTCACCTTAATGCCACCTTTTGCAACAGCCTGCCCTCCTGCATTTTACCTCCCTGCTAGGTGGACCAACCTGTCCCAGTTTGCCCAGGGCTTTCTGGATTGAACACTGAGCATCCTGCATCCTGGAACCCCTTCCATCACAGGCAAACTAGAATGGTGGCCACCCTGCTCCCACAACTCCAGCCTTTCTCCATGACGTCAGCCTCTGCCTCATCTAAAGTCAACTCCCCATCAGCGACCAGCCCTCCAAAGCAATGCCCAACTGTGTCTCTCACTGGTCCTACAGCTGAACCAACGCGCAGCACCATCACACTTTAATGGCCGCCCATGCGCCCAACCCTAGGCGAGGCCCAGGAAGACCTGTGCATGACCCACTTTCTCCATGCCCAGCCTTGCTGGCGAGTGGAGCAATGTATAAAATGTGTTGAACCGATTTGTTTCTTGGCTGGGTGGGAGGAGA